ACATCTGGATGGCAGGGAGAGGGTCCACCAGTTTCAGTGGGTTTGCATCTGGGGGGGGGGGGAAGTGCTTTCTGAAAGGTGTTGAGGGACAAAAGCCCAGGCAAGTGTCCAGTGGGACCTGTCAAAGCGCCTAAGGGAGCTAGAGACTCAGCCTGGTAAGGCACCGCTGGAATTCCCATGGCTGCTGCTGCTGCTGCCTGAAATGCTTCATTCCCCAATGCCTGGGAGCAAGGTCCTGTGGGCCTCAGCTCTGCAAGTCCTGGGACCACCACTTGTATTAACTGTGGTGATCCTGACAAAACAGGTTACTGTTTGCCTTCAGTCACCACTTTTCACCTCAAAAGACAGATCACAACGCAACGTGGAAGGATTATCTCTTCACGTGGACAAGCATTATTTAGCAAATCACTAGCAGAAATCTATTTCCCTGTTAGAAGCCCTTTGGGCAACAAATAATTTATTTTGCATACAGGCAAACAACATTAATGGCCAATTATATTCCCACTTCCTGCACTGATGCTTACATTAAAATTAATAATACTTATTCTCTCCCTGCCAAATGCAAGCATCACACCGCTCCTGCCAGCAGAGTTGTCTGACTAAAAACTGTGTATCTTTACATTGTGATAAGATTTTTTTTGTTGTTGTTTCTTATTTTATTAAGCACAAAAAAAAGGTGTGTGGGAGGAATCACAAGGCAAAACTCCCCAGGCAGAGCAGTCCTGCAGCCCACAGCGATAGGATACATTAAAAGAGAAAGGTGCGTTGTACTACTATCACAGTGCTCAGTATTTCTCTCTAGCTATTCATTGTGCAGCAATGGGGTAAAAACATACCACATATTGTCAAAACCAGCCCTTGCTATGTGTCTACCCTGAAGACGATGCTGGACTCTAGCAGGTGTATTGACAGGGCCAAAAAGTTTGACAGGGCACAAACTGGACCATGACCTGGGGCATGAGTGGGGAAGGGGGGCTGTGGAGTCAACCCTAAATGTCTCTCTGACATGGAAAGATGACTGGCATTTCAGGACAGATTAGCTGATTTTCTTGTTTCCTGCACATGTTTTATTGCCTCAGCATTATCATGGACTGGTGTTTTTTGCTGCCATAGGTAACTTCCAGGATGTGGACATCCTCCTCCACAAATACGTTCCAAAGAAAAAAAATGAACCATGGAGTGGGAGAAAGACCGGTTTCCATTTCATCTATTCTACGAGTCTGTGGCCCAAAATACGCCAAGATCTCCTCCTAAGGCAGGATGAGCCAAGAAAAGTCATTCCAAGATGAGTTTAGAGTGTTCATATTTTTACCATTTTGGGGATTAATTTTTCTGTCACTTGTAACAGATTCATCCCATTAATTTCAGTGTAGATGCTTGTAAGCTATGGGCTCCAAACTTGACTTCCCCAGTTTGAAATAAGCACCACAAGCTCATACCTGTGCTTTCTTCTGAGTCTGCTGAACACCACCCTGGCAAACCCTGGAGACATAAAGCTTATGCCAGCCCTCCTCCTCCCCAGAACATAACCCTTCTCCATGCGTTGGTATTACCTGACATGGCATAAACAGAGCAGGAGAACTACAGTTTGCAGAACTTCAGTGCTGGGCCACAGACTTAGGACAGTAGGACTTTGTGAGGAGGGATGACACCTTTCTTGACAGAAGTCAAAGCACTACTGCAGCCACAGAACTAGCTGTGTCCCACATATGGCTATTAAGAAACTTGCTGTTTTCCTAGTCTAACCTTTCACAGCACACTGCAGCTATGTCCACAAGGCATCACAAACCATTCTTAAAGAAAGGCTACTAATGAAACTGAAAACAAGTATGTTTCAAGATGCTGCTAAAACCTGTCTTAAATGACACCAGCATGAGATGAAAACTAACATTTAAAGAAAAAAAAAAAAGGAAATTCTGTGAGCAAACTTCATAAGAACTTACTCTCCAGCTGTACAGAAAGTTTAGCAGGTTTGGGACAGGACACTGGCAGAGCTGAGGTGCTACATTCAGCTTCCTGAACCGAGGCCACAATACATCACATTGCTTCATTGAGAAATAGCGGACAGTTTAGTAATTTCCAAATCCGCTCTTCAAGCTGGCTTAATTCTACTGTCTTCAGAGATGATAAACAACATATTTATTTCAACTTCTGACTCATAGTAGGCTGGAGCATACACTAAGTTAAGGCACAGGTATAAAGGGTACAGCCAGCTCTTCCCACTGTGACGCAGAACAGTTCTTTAGTTGTCCACATGGAAACTACCAGACCAGTATCTGCAGAGGGCACAAAACCCAGTAATCAGATCTCTGGATTCCCCATGAGTATGAGGACGACTGCAGCGGGTATTACCCCTCCCTAAGCACTGCCAGGGATGGGTGCTGCAAACGTTCACATACACTGGAGGAGGCCTTTGAGGTGACATCACGTGTGGCCAGCCTGGCACTTCCATGATGTGGGAAAGTGACCCTGCCTTTTGGACACTCAGCACATCACAGATCTCCACAAGCCCCGCAGATACAAGCACGTAGGCAAGTGACAACCTTCATAACTTAATGACTGCTCACTATTCAACATGACACACTATTTGGAAATCCCAGGTTATCTACTCACATGGTATCTCAGCTCCAAATGGGGAGTGTGGGTGCTACACGTGCACCTGTGTTTGAGAACCTGCATATACACATAATCCCATTCTGCACATGTGGGGTTATTTAGCAATGTTTTGACAGGTCTTTGCTCTTACATCACTCCTAAAGCAGAAAAGGGGAAAAACAAGACAAAAGCAATCAGTTTTCAGTCCTCTTGGCCATGACATTCTGTTGACAGCACTGAGTTTCATGAGATTTTATCAGAAGCTCAAACTCTTTGCAGGAAATAGAACATAAGCATGTACTTAAGGCATATCATAGAATCACAGAATGGTTTAGGTTGGAAGGGACCTTTAAAGAACATCTATTCCAACCCCTGCCATGTCTCAAAAGAACACTGAAGAGGGGAATTACAAAGAACTGCCCAAGAAAATGCCATTCGATTGATACTAGGAAAATGATTCATTGCTTACAAAGAAAATTCTCCCTGGGGCTACATTTCTGTTTTTATTAGGTGGGAAGACGAAATGAAACAACAGAAAAAGTTGTAGTGATGGTCGCTACCAGCCCACTGCAGAAACCACACACCCCCTGGGCCTGGCTGCAGCGTGGGTTTTATGGGCAGGTGATCTCCTGGGGTGTGCCCACATGTAGATGGTTGGGAGAGCGAAGGGGAATTAACTATAGGTGTGAAACCAAAGCTCAGAAAGACCCTTCATGTTCTCAATCAGAAATGAAGCAGTGCTAAGTCTAGTGCAGAGGACTGTGAACTGACTATCTCCACACCAGGGAGACGTGAACCAGCAGCGGCCCAAAAGTCCAGTTAGAGATTAATTGTTTTTGCCACATCTAAAGTGGCTTCTTTTCATTCCTTTCCAAGCTGCAATTGCAGCTTTAAATTCTCAGTTGATGAGGCAGATACAAAGTACCCTGTTATTCTTCACTGGTTAGGAGGCTGGGGGGCTTTAATTTTTTTTTTTTTTTTGGAGAGGAGGGAGAGAAGAGAAAACAACCTGGCTTAGTCATTTCTGAAATGACTGGGTAGTGTATTCATATATGCTGTGAGAAGTTCAATAGTAATGGAGATGGGCATAGAAAAATGCAGGCTGGCAGCTCACATCCTTGAGACAGCAAGTCTTCAGTTTATTGTCAAGGTGACTTGGGCTAAAAGACCCGTAACGTCTACTGTGTTTGAGAGGCGGCAGCACAGTATTGTCTATAGGATGTGGAGAATTTTAACACTTCAAATTCATTAAAACTCAAATTTTCATCTCAAAGTTAAGCCACACCTTGAAGGTGACACTGAATTTCTGAGATTCCAGCATTCAGAAAGCCTGTGACTGTAAAACACTGCTGCTCTTTCATCATATGGATTTGGTTTCAGCAGACACTCAAAAATGCATCTCAAACTGCCAGTGCCCCGAACATTCCCGTTTACTTCTCAGTGTTCTGCTTGTTCTGAAAAATGAAGTAAAACGTGTTGAACCAATGCTTGCTGCATTGCAGTCTCAGTAAAGTCCAAAGAGCTTATTCACAATCGTGTGTGTCACAGCGTTCACTAAGGACTTCTGTTCAAAGGGGACTGTGATGCCAGCCCTGTGTGGTGGCACATTCTCCAGCCTGTCCCACAGACTCACCGTTCCCTTAGCTCTAGGGACATGGAGCAGGTGCTGACCCCTTCTATCTGTCTCTCATATGCTGAATCTTCACCTCCCATTTTATCAAAGGAACCACAGTGATCTGTTAAAACAGGACTTCCTAAACCAGCAAAGAAGAGGCAGGATTTGGGCTGTCCTGCACAGTTCCTGGTGAAATGCCACCTGGTGATAGAACTCAACACAGTGATACTGAATCTCACAACCAAACGGGACTGTTTCCCCTTCCTGACTTCCAGATTTTAACATCAATGTCTCATATAACTGAAAATGCAAAGGTTCTGATGTCTCCAGTGCTGAAAGTTTCTGCATTAAAAATGAAACCTTGATATTCTTTGACAGACCCAGAACCTAAATGACCCTCTCCCGTGCCAGGAGACGGGCTCATTAGTGCAGTATGCGCTGGCAGGTAAGCACCAAGGAAGAGGAAAAGCTGACCTTGCAGCCACGATGCATTCATTCCGTTACTTTGGCGCTCATGTCCTCCTCTGTATAGGACTTGCCCAGAAGCAGTTAAGGTATACACAGGCAGTTTTTTAAGCTGCAGCATATTGGAAGAAGACTGAAAGCAATAAGGAGTTCAATGCAGCTCAGAAACTGTCTTGCATGATTACTCTGTCTTCAAAAACCAAGTCAGGCACAAAGGGAAATAAAAATAACCAAGGCTGGAGCTTTGACGCTTCAAGAGAAGAAGAAGAAAAAAAAAAAAAAGTCTGTGCCCTCTTTTCCAAGCACAAGTGAAAAACTACATTAACTAAAAAGAGTGCTTGGCCCCATGCACTGTGCCATATTGACAACAGCAACTGCAATTTAATCAAAAAGCCTCTATTGGCAGAGCATGGCACCTTGATGGTACCTCGTAATTCATAAACATTCCTCCCACAGAGGGATGCATTTGTGTGTTAGCTTGCAGAGAACCATTTCCCTGCTGATGTAAAATCCTACAACTCCACTGCAGTCTGATGAGCTGTGCTAGAAATCACTAGCAGGGAGTCTGTCCCGAAATCTCTGGGTGTGAACCAGGGCACACTTAAAAAAGCATTTTCTCACTCTGTCACTCCCACCCCCATCCACCCATCTTCTGGACTAAATTACAAGAAAACTGACTCTTCTCCATCATTCCCATTACTTAAGTGATCTTAAATTATTCAAACGACTGGTTAAGCTCCAGCCTTATTAATTCAAGCAGAAAGTGTGGAAGAGGGAAGACTGACAACAGACACAGCAATTCACTTCCTACATCCTAGCAAATATATACAAGAAGTCCATTTTCCAGAAATTCAACTGGTAGGGACTGAAAGTGAGCAGAGCTCCCACCTTTGCAGATTGTATCACGTGAAGAAGATGCCATTTCAAAAGAGTGCCAATTAAGAAATAATTGTGTGAAAGACTTAACGTGACCATGTGGATACGCTACAAAGGGCTTCTCCTTCACTACAGAGCATCTGTCTTCCTCTCCATATATACACACATGTATACACATACATACACGCACACACAGATAGATGGATAGATATAAATACATGTGCGCACACACGCGGGCACGCATACATATATATATATATATTTATATATATATATTCTTTTCCAGTTCTTGGAGTGGTTACAACTACTTTAGTCTACAAGGCATCCTAAGGGCACTTCCTGGCTCTAGCAATAAAGTCCATCATATTGTGGAGAGAAGTAAAGGGAATATCATCGAGGGAGAAGAACAGAACAGTTTCCTATCTTGTATAATATCACGTAACAGGTCAACACCTCTGAAAAATATCATTGTTGTTTCTGAGCCCAGGTATTTTCTCCCTGTGTTCCAGGAGGGCAAATGTTCATCTTGTCCAATTGCCGCGTACAGAGGTGCCACTATGCGATCTTCCCTTTTTGGTGGATAAGTAGTTGCTTCCAAATAGTTTGGACTGTATAATACAATATCCCATGTATCATTTTTTGTTGGTTTGTTTAAAGGGAGATTAAAAGAGTTTTGCTTTTTTCTTCATGTCGTTGCGTCTCCAGAGAGGTAACTTGTCAAACTCCTGTATCGTCATGCCAAATATTTCTTGAAAAACTTCAGGTGCTAAGTGGCGCTTTGAAAAACAAAATGGGGGGGGAGAAAAAAAAAAAAAAAGGAGAAAAGGCAACGGTCAGTCAAAGCCAAAGAGACACCAGAGCAGACAGGAGTGCCTTAGGGATTTCACGTCACCGTGTAAGAGCCACTGCAGGAAATAATAATGCTTTGGCAAAACACACATCCAAGTCCTCACGAACTTGGGTGCTCAGTGAATCAACAACATTTTGCAATTTGTTAAGCTTGAGAAGTTTACAAAGGAAATGAGGAAAACTATGTCAGTTGTTGAATAAGCAAGAGACAGACAAATGATTTGTCTGAAGTCACCCAAGAAGCAGTGACAGACCAGACACCAAAACCGGGTCCCGCACGCCCCTGTCCCGGGCTTTAGCCAGTCACCTCCCCTGACATATGAAAGCTCACACAGACACTGGGTTTCAGGAGAGCTTTGCAGAGAGGCTGCAGGTTGAGATGCTACATTTGAAGTTCTGAGAAGGAAGATGCCTGGCCCAGCATATTTCTCTACTGCCAATTAAATATTTTTTGCTGCTGTCCTGTGCACAAGTTACTTCTTGTTCAGCTGCTTTACAGTGCACTGGATGGGGAAAGTGTCTCCCTGTGGCACTAACGTAACACAGCGTTGAATTCTGATTAGTCATCACATATCTAATAGTCCAAAAATGTGCATAAATGGTTACTTACCCAAATTTTTATGGCCCCTTCCGTTCATCTCCACAGAAGACTAACCGACTACAAACAACTTAAACATCCCTAGTCTTCCACTGGGCTCTCAAGTCTTTCTAATCCACAAAGCTGTAAACAATTTTTATTTGTTGGCAGAGATTTAAATCTTTTTATTTTTTGATATTGGCCAACTCACAGGACTCAAGGATGAGCAAAGAAAGTTAGACTTTCTTTAGTCATCCTCAAGGATGGCTGACACTAACTCTTAGCTCAGAAATGAAAACACTGCTCCATTTCAACACGGATCCTACGACTACAAAACACTTCACCAATTTTAGGCTTTTTACCAATTTACAAGTGTATAATTAATTGTTTTAAAACATAAGGGTGTTGTGAGAAGCTCAGTCGAGACGTGGGACTCCTGGCCCAGCACTCTTGTGGAGATGTGGCTGTCGCACTCCCCCTTTCCCTGCTCAGTGCTGAGAGATCTTCCCAGTGGAACAAAGGACACACACTTCAGTGTTTGAGCTTTCAAGTTGTGCAACAACAAACAACTTCAGCAGGAAAGAGCATTTAGGAACTTGCTTCTCTTACCTCAAGCCTGGTTCTGTCTACATCTTTTAGTATTTTATTTCGCCCTCTGTTGGTCACCATGAGTATTTCATATGGAAAAATCTGTTAACAATGTATAAAAGGGGGGAAAAAAGAGATTTATTTACAGTCTAAAGCAAAATGAACACAATGTGTCTCATTTTCATAACCACACAAACAGTTCCTTTTTCAAAGGAAATCACAGCACTTTTGTACCCTGAAGTTACAGAGCAAGAACTTGGTTAGTACCAAACAGCCTCATATTGTAGAGCCACGTGTACTTACCCACCCTGCTGATTTTTATGGTGCATATAATACAGCTGACTTTGGTCAGACAGTCCTCTCTAGTCAATATAATTTCTCATCCAGAGTTTATTAAGGTAAATACATTTGGCACTTATTGGTCTAACTGATGGTTGCCAAAGTGTGGACAGCTCTAACAAAACAGACATTTAGTGGACTTTTAAAAATGAACCACATGGAAGTACCTCACAAAAAGCAGCAACTCTGAATAAGCAAAATATTGATTAGTGGAGGCCACTGCATTCATCAAATTCATCACATGATTTTCTTTGCTTTTTTGGACAGTCAAAGAATTCAAACAACTGCCCACTGTGCTTGCTGGCTGTGCAATACATACATGGATTAAAGGAGAGACTTTTGTAGAAATATCTGTCTTACACACCTTCATCTACTTCAGAAGAGCACGTGTCCAGCACATCTCCCATTAACATCTCCTTGCTTTCCTTTTACATTGCAATCAATGTCCAAAACTCATACAAGTCAGTCATTGGCCAATAATCAATTCCTGAATGCATAAATTATCTTACTTTTGTTTTACAGGTTCTTTGCTTGTAGTAAAAAGCTTACTGTCAGTGGGTGTCAAATCAGTTTAATCCAAAAGAAACAACGCTGCTTAGAACGGATTTCAGAAAACCATGTGCCTTAAAATCTGTTTCTGGAATCACCCCTGGCAAATAAAACTCCGTTTTAGGGTTTTTGCCTTGGGCTGACACTCCATGAATGCCTGGAATGACTTAGGAGAGCTCATGTCCCACCTGACAGAGCCTCTCTATAGACTTTCTCATCGCATGTCTCTGCTGAGTAGGAAAAGAGCTTTCCCAGTCAGGTTCTCATCCAACCCCTACTGAAGCCAATGAAGTTTCTCTGCAGACTTCAGTGGTGATTGGCTCAGCCTTTACTGTTATTTATGGGTCTTGTTTTACTTGCCCACTGGGAACAAGAGTGAGACCACCAAAATTCTCCTGAAAAGACAGCAGAGCTATTATCAAATGCTATTAATTCAATTATTTTAGCATCAGAAGGAATTCAACCTAATAACTTCTGTGCAGCATTAGGCAATTAAGTTCATTCCTTTGTCAACAATTATCCCAATGAACTTTTCAGAAATATAATAAATAAGATTCAGGCATCAATGAACACACCACTGAGTTTATTGTAAGTAATAATAATTTAAAGAACGTGTGCTTACATACCAATTGTAAGATATGATTCTTAGGAGATTCTGACATTGTCACAGTTGTACAATTAAGTCTATACTTTGAATTACATTGTTTATGTATGATACTGGAAACCGCTACCATATACAGCATTATAGGAAACTAAAATGTAACTTTTCATATTTAAACAGGCAGAGTTTAAGTCAAGATCTACAGTCATAAGTACATTTTATATTTAGATATTCACAACAAGGCATGTCTCAATCTGGGGTGGCAGGATGCACAAATTCTGTCCTTTCTGGAGAACCACTTGGTAAGATTTGGTCATTCTTAAGCTTATTAATTTTCACTTTTCATGTATTTCATGCTTTGTGTTGGCTTCTTTTACTTTATCAGGTTTAAGACAGTGTTGGACCATTGACATGAATAAAAATACTGCCAATTCACCCAAGCTGAGGGTCTGGCATCATCTTTACAAACATCACAAAAAGTGACCTACTATCTCACAAAAATTCCCATAAATTTTATCACTAATAATACTGACAGAATTTGTCACCCAAAATAACATTCCAAATCACTGGGTGCATCAACAGCAGTGGTGGCTGTAAGAATTTCTATTGCACTGAAAGAGAAATTATTTGGAATAAAAAGTAGTATCTCAGGAGTTGGGGAAGTCCCCAAGCTCTTATTTATATAAGATATAAAAACACTTGATAATATACATTGCACTGGGGTCTCAGCTTATAAAGCCAGGGTTATTGCCTTGTACAGTTTGTCTGGAGGTGACTCGGAAGCACAAGTAATAATCTGGTTTGCAAGAAGAGCTCCTCACAACTACAGAAATGCTGATCCTTATAACTTTGGCAAAATCATGATTTCTTGGAAGGTTCACCAGCAACAGCGAAAGTTTCAAGATTTAAAACATAGCCCTGGTTGAATCCCCTCTGTATATTACGTTCATTTTTGACTCGGATATCTCTAGGCATAGCTGCAAAAGCATTTTAAATTATATTCAGCTGACACCACCTCTTTTTCCAATATATCTCCCGAAGAATTTCTCTTATGAGAAATTCAACATCATTGAAAGGTGTCAGGCTAAAGGTGCTGAGAGCTAAAGAACAGACCCAGACAGACATGAATTTCTAACTTCTAATTCTGAAACAAAGGTCCATGTATTTTGTTAATTTTTAAATCAAGACAGCCTCAGCAGTGTGTTGTGAGCCACAACATTCTGCATCACTTTCCCACCCTGACAGATGTGAGACTTTCCCATTGAGTTTTGGCTAGTGGAAGCTCAACAGAGAACAGATGCTCAATTGAGCATCTTCAATATCTTTGCTGTGTCTTTGGAAAAGCCTCCTTAACCCAAGAAGCACAGCTGGGTTGCCTTCAACCTGCCTGAGCACTAACACTTGTAACAGGCAAAGTCCAGAAAAAGGGAGAGGTTGGCACATAAGGAGCAGGGACTGAGGTGAGGTAAAGAAAAACAAGGGAACTAAGACATTTCCTGTACTTTATCTGCATTGCACAGTCAAATCTTCACTATCTTGAAGGAAAGTGAATAACATCTGCACTTGCCTTTGGCTCCAACATGTTAGGCATAGATACTCCTCTGTCCATTCTCATTCCAGGGACATGACCATCCGGAAGGGACTGCATCAGATACAGGTATACATCAGACACATAGGTTACACACACAGAGGGTAAAGGCACTCAAGTAGTGGTGAAAACAAAGGTGAATTTGCCCTGAGACTTCCTTCAAGCCTTATTATTTAGTCTTATCATATAGATCCTTGCCATGGCTACTGTTTACCACTTCTCTGAGGCATGCAGAGGGATCCTTCAATCCTCTCTGTCACTGCTAAGGCTGGCAGTAGCTCCCCACCAAGCCTACCAATATAACTTCCCAGGTGGACCTGGGGACCCCAAGAGAGGAGTGGCCCCTTTCCCACCCCAGTGACTACGTAGGGTCCTTTTCTAGACAAATAGGCAGAAGCAATAATTCAGATCCCACCCAACAGTGCACAAAGCACCCTTACACCTCTGGGCTTTCCTTCCTGTCACTTACAGTATCAGTTGAAGGATTATTTTTTTTTTGTCTCTACAATGGGAAAATTTTTACAATGAACACAAACAAGGATGGGGTAGAAAGGTGCTGTTTTGACACAGGTACTGTTCCTAACAAAATGTTTTGAGCACAATACATGGACAAGTCCTCTCTCCTCCCATAATCTTATTTTCTTTCCAATCATCATGATTTTGATATGCCATTAACAAAATTATCCAAGTAATTAAACTCTTTCATAAATTGCCATTTCATATTGTGATTGTGCTGAGGAGCCAGCCAGACTCAAACCATTCTGGAAAAAACCCTGCAGGCAGGATTTGGAGTCAAAGGGTTTGTATTTGCAAGCACACCTCTTACTGGCTCATCTGTGATGGCAGCACTGTAGAAAACTATTGATCAGACATCTTGTCTGGAGAACAAATTCCAGGGTAAAAAGGTGGAGTTCAAGGCTCCTGGTATGGGAGAAAATTGCCTCCAGAAGAGACTCTACATCTCTGGGGTCAGTACTAGAGAGGCTGGAAATAAATCCAGCCTCAGCCATCCAGGGAGGACTATTACAGGTAACTCATATATCAACAGACAGTGGGTTTTACAGAGCAAGTCACAGAACTGGTGTGAGCTGTCTCAACCCAGCTCTGGGGAGGTAACAAGGAAGAATCTGAGGCTGTGCCTTTTTTTGGTCAATAAGAGTCTACATTGGTGATTATGCTTAAACATGCAGGAAAATCAAAGCTATTGTCTTAAGAAACCCTTCCCTGTAGCAGAAATTCAAACTTCAACAAGAAAGTAGATGCTTTTGGTTCTGTTGTCAGTTGATTGATGAAAACCTGTACTCTACCTGGAAATCTGAAAAGCAAAAGAGAAATTTCATCAGGTTTAGAGTGTGGAAGAATAGGAATCAGTCACAGTCTATCAGATAATCCTTGTGTCTTCTGGTCTACCCAATCTTTTCAAAATCCCACCCAATTTTCTAAAGCCAGAAATCTTCCTACTTTTGGACCTAGTTTGTGAGGAGTGAAACACTCCAAACACTGCAGCCCTTTTAATTTTGAGCAGACTTCTGACTCAGGAAAATCAGGTCACTTTGGAAATATTAAGAGACACAAGGCCACAATCAAGTGAATAAATATCCGACTAAAATTCAAGTATGTAGAGCAGGATTCACCTCATCTAACCTCTGCCATCAGGTGGCTGTCTAGCTTCCTCCACAATCTCTAAGGAAACATAAGCACCAACAGAAGATGCCTGATTGTAGGGTATCTGAGATAGTCAGAGTCAATCTCACTTTGGAGGTACCTAGACTCTCTCTCAGCTGAAGCCATTTCAAGACATTAACTCTCAAAGTTTCATAACTTTCATAAATATTGTCAATTTTTATTATGCAATGACTGATATCACATCTAGCTCAAAGTCATAATGAAATACATGGGCAGCAACAGGGGTTAGAAGGCATCATCCTCCTTTGTTCACTCTGACATTCTTTCAGAACTGTGCGGTGGATGGTAATTTTCAGAGAGAGAAAACACTGTAACAGAACTCAGAAAGTGTTCCTGATAATTTACATGTTACCTGCTTTCCATTTGCACCAATGCTAAAGCAGTCCCTTGGCATAAACAAGGATCAGCTCCACATAGCAGGTTTAGCAAAATAAACCCAGACTTTTTAATAGTTATTAGAGTTAATTGTTCAGAGGAAGTTAAAAACTACTGAGCAAACACTAAATAACCAAATCCATAACCTTAAAATAAAATAGCAGAAATGATCAAACATCATAACATGCTCAGTAACGAAGTGGCACGTAAAAAGGCTCCTCAGCCTTACCTCTAACACCACCACTCACATCTCCATAACTGTTGTACTGACCAAAATCTGTAGACACCGGCTGTAACAGGAAAAGAGGGACACACACATAAATTCACAGCTCATGACTTCACAAGCAGGTTGGTTTATGGAGTTTAATAAAGCTTGAACGCTTTAAGCCTTCCCACCTGTCCCCCCTCAATTTTCACAATGTTTCTTGCATTACTTTTTTGCCTTTTTAACAATGTAGTTTGTGGGAGAGAAATTAGGTTTTGTCTGACTTCAGATGATCTTATAAGAAACCTTGATCAAACTGAAAATCCAATACAGTTAATACAGAAATAAATACCATGGGTAATAAAAGCCACCTTTCGCTTCTCAAGAATTACCACTTCCTTACCCTGTGAAGTCCATTTTTTCCATAGCCAGGGAGAGAAGAGGTTTTGGAGGCTGAAGCATGTGCTGTTGAATGAGGAAGGGAAAAATCTTTTACTGGAAAATCCTATGGAAACTCAAACCCAAGAACACTTGAGGAATCAACTAGCATAAAAAACACAGTTAAAAGAGCTAAACATATAAATAACTGAGACATGCTGACTTTAAGAAACTACATCTCAGCCCCAGACTCATCACAACCTTCCATACAACTCTGTAAGTTAGAGGTTATCATGGCATGATGGCAGGGCACCAAGAAGGGACACTGATTTTGCCAGGCTCAAAATCAAGGTGGTTTCCACTGAGTTCAAAGTAATGCTCAAGGATCAGACAACAGAGCAAAGCAACTTTTTAGTCCTTGGCTAGATAAAGTATTGCTGTGCACCTTATGATAGGGCCCGATAAAGGACAAGGAGAATCCAAGATCAGCAGTGTTCAACTAGATGGGTTCCCTGTAAAGTCTCCCATGCAGGTCCAGTCAATTTTACTTTCCTGAGTGGCACACATGGTTTACATATCATCATACCTTCTGAACCTTTCATGAATTTCCTTCTGTCCTTCCTACTGCAACTAGTATTGCACTTACACTCCCAGCTTCTGCTGCTGCACAAACCAAGATACATAGGACTAACATACTCTATTCTCTCTGTATACATATGCTTCAGCTTACCAATTTTTTTTGCTACAAAGGAGAAAAGGCGATTAGTTTTGGTACTGTAACATTGTAATTGACAGATGCTTTGGTACTAACTTCACCAGGAGAATGACAGTACTGACTGAATTCAACCAAATTGGAGAATTTGGCATCCTGATCTGAAAATATAGTCATCCTGTACACGATGTGATGCTTCTGAGAACATGACATTATTCAACAGACCTCTGTGACTCCTGCTTTCATCTGAAATGAAAGTGAATTAAGGTATCTGGGGCCATTCAACTTAGCATTGACCTCAGCAATTGCATGAGTGAGATAAAGACAATGTGGAAGTGTCAAAAAGAGTGTGTTTTTGAATACAGAGAAGAAGGATAAATAGAAAGAGTGTCAGCATAATGATCAATAGCACCTCTACAGTTAATACAGCCCCTTCAGACAAGATCTTCCATATAAGAATGTAATTTTTTTTTTTTTTTAATTTTATTTTTGTCACAGAAGGGCAGGAAATATAAAACTTGAGGCCCCTTTGTTGCCAGCAACAAGCAGCTTTGGGAAAAGAACCAGTGATTCCAAAAAAGGCAAGGACTGCACTGATTACCACTGCAAAGAGAGATGGACACATCTCCAATACAAGAGTCCTCCAACTTGTGCTTGTAAGCTTCGAGTTGAGCAGGTAGACTCTGGCCCTGCAAACATTACAGGGAGAGCCACAAACATTTTCTCCAAGTCCATAAATCAAGGCAGCACACTTATACAACAGGGAACATGAGGAAATCTTAATTTGCTTGGCAACTACTCCAGTGGATCGCTCCAAAGAGACTCATCGTGTCCCTCTTGGCTCAAAGTACAGCTGCTGTGCTACAATGACCTCTGGATGAAGAGAGTGAAATAAAACCCCTGAACTCTTCTCTGGAGATCTGAGAAGGCCACAGATGTGTATAAAAAGTGCAATGAGGCCAAGAATCTAAGCCACCAATTAACCAAAGTTGACTTTTGTGCTTTTGCTCTGGAACCCAATGAAAATGTCAGCCCAGGTCAAAACACTGGCTGTGTTTGGAATACACAGCCCCTCTGGTAAATGCTGATTTTTTGTCCCTAGGAGGAGAGACAAAACAGTGATAGGAACCACCAGCTTAAGCAAAATGTGTTATTGTAATTTAATAACCCAGCCTATTAGCATATGCATGATGTAATAGACACTGAGTATTTTATACCTTACTCCTTATCTATATTGGAAAATCTTTCTCCTCAAAATTGTCTGAAAATACTCAATCTCATATTTCTTCTAAGTAAAAAAAAACTATGATACTCTTCCTCTCACCAAGACCAGATAATGAATAAGGCCACTCTTTCAGGGAGAACATCATATATAACACATATCAAGTGGTCTTCCCAGTGGTCTGTCTTCTGGGAGACTGCTTGATATGTGTGTATGTGGTGTTCATTACTCACTGTTCATCATTAGCTTTATTGCCTACATGAATTACCTGGAGAATCGTAACGACTGGCAGAAAGGGCTGACCTATCGCGACTCTCCTTTTCCATCTCTTCTTTCAATATCAATTGTCCCAGACCAGAGTTGAGCTATAAATGGCAATTAAAAAAATATGTCATTTAAACAAAGCATAAGAGGCATTAGTAGAAATTGGTTAAAGAAAACAAAGGGGCACTTTTTGGATGGTGTTCAGAAACAGCATGAAGACAAGCTTATAACCACCTTCATGAGCTGCTCCTCCTGCAGTTGCCGGCGTCTCTGTAGCTCCTCATCATCTTCCTCTCTTCCACTTGATCTGCGTCTCATGTCAGCTCCTGCTCCCACAAAACCACAGTACAGAGAGAGCTTTGTGTATCAGTTCCACTGCAGCCTGAGGATTTCAATGCTAGAAAGTACTGGTCAGCTTAATTTACTGAATAAACAAAGCAGTATTTTCTTGCAGACTCAAAAGACTTTTTCAAAAATCACCCTTAATAAAACTCTCTCAGATAGCCTGCCCTATGGCTATCGGCCTTCCTATAAAATTAACAAGAAGTTTTACTGCACATGGGTTTCCAACCAACAGTCCTGGATATAAAATCCCTGAATGAATGTAATAGAAAAAAGGAGCTCAGATTGCTAGTTCTGGAAACATGGGGTTTAATGGCAACAGTAACTGTACCCATGGTTGTAAACAGAAAATCTGATTTACATTTATACTTCTGTCTAGATTTAGAAAAGTGAATTAGAATTAACACTTCAAATGCAAAATTAAACTACATTAATCTCCTAAATGGACACTCATATTTGGAATAAACAAAACATTATTTTTAGTCTAAAATGAAGCAAACTAATTTGTGTTCTATATTAGTTTCTTTCTTTTTATTGAATAATCTTTATTTTCTTGAACAGTCTTAAGTAATGGTCCAATTTGGATGTCAGGACACCTCCGTGAATATATAGAATACGATATTGCTGCAAGTATTTAGACAGCAGTTGTATTTTCTTCTGCACAGGCTATATCCTGGTAAAGTTTTTCACCAATGCTATGCTAGACAAACTCAGTGGTTTATTTAAATAAAGACTAAATTTTGCAACTGAAGTATCAGAAGGTTTGTATCAATTAAATGTTTTGTACAGCAGTGTTAAATTGATGCTAATAGAGGGAGAGACAAAAAGTTACCGAGAAATTATTTGTTTGAATCTAAATTATGTATTCTTTTGTTTGGTGAATCAGGCTTTTGCAAGACTTTTCAATACAATAGCAGTAATACTCTTTTTTTTTTTGACAGCTGAGCTCATTCTAGCTCCGCATAACACTCAGAAAATCAAACAAGCCAAAAAAACTGGTGCTTGTGGGTTTGGTTTTCAGTGATTGACTTCATATGATGCCTTTTTATTTCTGAATAAAATACATCTATGAGCACATTTTTATGTTTATAGTTTCCAAACACTCCTATTTAGTTTCTAAGGTGTAACAAAATCACCTGATAGCCAATATACAAAGCAGTTTTACTGGAAACTATTAAAAGTTGTCATCCACTGCCCAGAAACTAAGCTGAGAGCCAAAAATGACTGTAGTCATCACAAACATTGTCAGGAGAGCTTCAAGTATGACAACGTTACCGCTGTGACTGTAATGTTTGTCAGGTTGCAATCCTATATAAAGTATATTATCAAAAAATGATGCTGTCACATAGGCAGCCCCTTTAATTGGCTATTGAGCTCTCCCACCCTGGGTCTCCTCTCCCAGCACTTCCACAAAAACCCCACTGCACTGAAAACCAGCCACTCCTTCACGGAAACCTGAAACAGGCAACACCTTCAGCGCTTCAGACACGACTTCATAAATGAACCAGGGCAGATAGCTTATTTGATGCCAACAGATAAAAAAAATGTAAACAAAAAAAAAATTAAAAATGATCATGTACATGATTTAAAGAAAAGAAAATGAGATACCTGTAGTGCAATAATACACAGAAAAATACATAGTCTGTAGAAACAGTAATTCTGAAAATCAGGACTTTTTTAGTCCGTTAACTGTTCCACTTCAGTCATTGCTCCTCGCCATGAAAATAGTCATGTGGTTGGAAGCAACCATATTTGCTGTGGAATATTTGCTATTAGCTTAGGACTAGAAAATTAAATAGACAATAACTGAAAGAAGTCAGGCTTGTGTGATGCACCACATCTTTTAAGCTACTGCACAGGAGCTCACATAACTTGTCTATGTGTTAACATCTGTGTGATCAATTCCAAAGCCCTTTAACAAAACCTCTTCTGCTCAGCGCTATCCAATAGTTTTAAATTCACAGACACCTGGAGGTCTTGCCAGAAGAACTGCAATTTGTGGTGACAACCTTGAGTGGACACAATCTTCACTACCCATTGTACAGCTCCAGTATTAATCTACTTTGGTTACCAGTACCTTTTAAGCCGCATCTCGTGTATTGTTATTTTTTTTTGCATACCTATGGCCGCAAGGGAGGGAGGACCTGGCCAGTGGTCTGTCTCAATCTTTGGTATCTCGTTGGGTGCTGGTGCATGTGCTGCTGGGAACTTGGAGGACTTGATGATATCCTCGGAGGACTTGCTCTGTGCTGCCAAAGCAGCTGCATCTAGATGGCAATCAGGGAACTTAGCTATATAATCATCTGTATCAATATAAAGCTCTTCCTAATTTTGGCAAAAATTTTATGCTTTACAAGAAGTTCATTCTCCAAAGCAAACACTTTCATGTTTTGCTTTTCTAATTGCAATCTGAAGCAAAGTCATGTCTTTCTCTTGCCAATTGATTGGAATCAAACCTTCCTCTTGTCCCTTGTTCCCACCCCCGAAATAACCCCAAATCAGCTTTGATTTTACTAGGGTTGCAGAGTATTAGAATGATTAGGCAAGAGTAAGAAAATTCAATTTAACAGTATTTTCCAATATCTCCTAAGGAGAGTTGATTATTAATGAAGATCAAATCAGATTTATGTATTGATCTATCTTCCCTCTGGGACAAGAAAAAAAACAGTTAAGTCTGTTGCTGCTAATTATTTCCTATGTTTCTGTGAAAAGCTGCAAAACAAAAATAAATCTGAAACACTGGTTCATTTAACCAGTGGATTTATTTCTGCTGCATGCCCTTGCTTATTAGCATGCAGTAGTAGTAAAAGCAGATGTGAATTTATTAATAAATACTAAACTCCATTCAGATCGACTTGGCAGGGGGAGGCACTTGCAGCAAAATGAACCTCACCAATAAAATATCTCAGCAATGGAGCACCCACTTAAGATTTCAGTCTAAGCCAAAGTCTCTTAAAAGCATGTGAGGATGTGCATTATGGCTTTCACTTCTTGACATAAAAAAAAAAAAAAAATTAATCCAATAGGATTCAGTTTACAATAAAACCAGCCTTAACCACCTCTTATCTGCAAACTGTTTGCTCAAGTCACCTTCTCTTTTAAGAGGCTATCATATCAGAAGCAAGGATTCTGGACTTTTTTTTTCCTTTTCTCTCTTTTTTTTTAAACAGAAAGACATCTGTTAATGAAGTGAAGCATTGTGTTGCTCATCCAACACATTCAGGGTAGTTTAGGAACATCAGTATTAGATATCATTTGGGATTCCAAACACTTTATGATTGGAAAACTCTAAGCATAACTGTAGGTATGGAGGAAGCTGGTCAGAGTTTACAAAAGCATGACTTCAAACAGTACTTACGTATTAGAATTGGTGATGTCAGTGGTTAAACATTCACATGTTAATGGGAGGTGAGGAGATACATTAAAACCATAAAAATAAACAAAAATAATGTTAAGATTTTTTCCAAAATGAGCATATGGTTTGAAACTTAAAAAAGAAAGAGGAAAAAACCTTGATGTAAAACCACAGCAGTGTTATTTGCGATGCTCGCTCCCGACTACAGAAGGGACTTCCCGGGCTCTCCCAATCATCTCAGCCCAGTGGCTCCCAGCCAACTGTTCATCTAAACCCAGTAGAGTACTGGTAATTTGCTACTTAACCCTAAACACACGTCACTGGATAGAACGTCTGCAAAGGGATGCAAACTTGAAGTCTTTAACAAGTGGAGTCCTCCATCTTTCACCACGTCATGTAAAAATCATTTCCTATTCAAACTTCTCTATTCACGGCAGAAGGGAAGAGTGAACACAGTCCGTTATAGCTGGGACCTTGCTCTGCAGACCTAAAGGCTGGCAATGCAATGGGCTTCTGCCACTGCTGCCATTTCAGACTCACAATACCAGTGTCTACACTGAAAAGATTAGAGCAGCAACACTGCTGTCCCACTCAGAACCCAAACCCCTGGAAAAGCCACACACAGCCTTACTGCCTGAGCTGTGTCACAGGGACTGAGAATCAAATTAGCTCTGTCAGTGATATGTCACCTATATTATCTTTGAGAATTAAAGATCCTTATTTAAATTCACAGGTACATTTGGAATTCCAGTCTGATAATAACATCTCCATCTTATCTGTTGAAGTAAATCATTGTCCTTTGTCTGTTTAAAACAAGGATATTCCATGAAGTCCCTGTCAGAGAGCAGTCTGTTGTTAATCCATTTTAACATGACCAGTACCTGTATTCTGAAAATATCAACTTTAGAAGTGAAAAACAGAAAGGCATCATAATGCTAAAGAGACAGCAAAATCCCAGTTAATGGCAATTTTGCCATTAATATCAACGTGGCCAAGACTTAAACCATATGAAACAACATGCTTTAAAAATAATCACTCAGCAGGACATGCAGTAACAGCAGTTTCAAGCTTGGACTACTAAATTTTAACACTTGCACAGTAAACACTGAATGCTTTTCACTAGTCTGCATGCCTTTTAATTCAGTTGACACTCCAGTTTTGAAATAAATAAAGGGAAAGATCATTTACCATGTTGTTTGTAGATCGGTGGTTTTCTGTAAATGTTGACACCTTGATCTGTGAAATTGAGAAACAGAAAAATGTGAATATGAAAACTACTCCAGCTGTAGATAAAGACAACTCCAACACTAAAACAATAGACAGACTAAATCAAAGATGTGGCACAAGAAAAAGCCAAAAAGCTATTTTTCTATTATATAAAATCAGATAATTTAAAGAAAAGAAAACAAGAGCAAGTGAAAAGTCAAAGACATGTGGTATGAAGTCCTTTGGAGACGGTTCTGTAACATGTGGATGCATCCAAGTCATGAACATTTTAAACATTCAGAAGATTTATCAGTGGAATAAGAGTTAGAGAAGAAATGCAAACAAGCAAGACATTTCAATGGTGAAGAAACAAGCCATTTGGGGAAAACCACCCCAAATAACTTTTGCGGAAAATTGTGCTTCAGTCACAACAGCTCAATTTTCTTTCCAACTCACTGTCTGGGTTGAGCAGAAGAGAATGCAGTGAACCTACAATTCACTTCAAAATCCACAGAACAAAACAGCTGCCTAGTACACTGTTTTGAACAGCCAACAACAGCTACACTTCAGAGTCAAAGGGATGCTTTATACAGTGTTAACTGAGGTACTACGAACTCTAAAACCACAAGCACAGTTTTTATTTCTTTCTTGCAAATTTTTTAATGTAGGGTCCTCCACGTTGCACGTTATCAATGTAAATCTGAATAAAAATGCTTCCTGGAACTCTAATGCAGTAAATCTACAGCATGTCTATAATATATAAAATTTTTACAAATAATGATCTAAGACAGGATCTAAACTACCTTCCCACCCAAGGCACCACTTCATGTATTGAGCACAGCTACAAATAAAACAGTTAATCCAAAATCAGGGCTACTGTGTAAAATCTGTCAAAATTAATTAGAAGAACAAAAGGAGATATTGGGAACAAGAAAATTAATGTCAGAAACCTATTGTGCTACTTCGTACTGCCTGAAAGAAGTTTTCAGTCCCATTAGAATGAAGGATGAAGAAGCATTTTAGAAATACAGGCTGCGTATTGCAGAGCCAATTAAAGTGCTACAGCGGCCAGCTTAGCCTTTGGCATTAAGGAAAGCCAACCTCGAAATCCGTGGCAACAGAGGCAAATCTTACTCTGGGAACCCTACATCCTTGACTAAACAGGCAAATTCATTGCACACAAAGACGCTGAGGTATTTCATTCTTGTTAGTGATCCGTTATGCCTACTTGACCAGCAAATAGGCATAAAAATTACAAGGGTGGTCATGCAGAGCTTTTGCGCACATCGATACCGGAAAGCTGCACGGAGGAGAGGAACACAGCTCTGTCTGGGGCTGCTCGGGGCTGGTTGAAGAGGGCAGCTCTCCCACAATCCTGCAGATTATTACTCCCTGCTATTCATGCAAGTGCGCTTTAGCTTACGCACGTCGAAGTGTGCCAGGTTAGCTTAAGCAGTTAACACAGCCCACCTCAGCCAAGCCAGGTCACACGGACTGAAAAAGAAGTTTATCGGCCAGATGTGAGGAAAGAGGGAAGAGCAGAACCTCTGGCAGTGCGAAGGGATCCTAGACTGCAGGGAATCTGGAGAGTAACTGCACAGAATAAGGCTTTCAGCTTGCACTGATGCAGTCAGGAGGTGCAAATCAACAACACTAGGGACACACCGCCCTCATCTCATCAAAATCCAAGGCAGACGAGCTTCTCCGAGGCTGGAAGAACCGTGCAGCTCACTTCAAAACAGAGACTGCCCTTTATGGGGACAGCCTGAGGCATATATATCATAGAATCATAGAACAGTTAGAGTTGGAAGGGACCTTAAAGAACATCCAGTTCCAACCCCCCTGCTGTGGGCAGGGACACCTCCCACTAGAGCGGGTTGCTCCTTGTGGATCTGCAGGTCACTCTGAGAACACCAAGCCATTGTACAAAACAAGTAAAAAAACATCCTCACCTGCTTTAAAGAAAAAAAGGAACACTAAACTAGAACTGCTTGGTTCAAGACTAAAACAAGTCACAACAATCTGAATGAACAACATATCTAATAGCTCACTGTTCAACTCTTTTCTGTGTGACACTGTGAATGAAAACCAACTCGTCTAAAGTTAGCAGAGATAATGCTCAGCTGGTGCAACTGCAAGAAAAATCAAGCCCTAGGTAGCTCATACCCAGCTCACAGGCCATCGACAGACCCCGAAACCCAAGGCATTCTAACAGTGAAACACCTGACCAACAGAAGAGGAAAAAATCACAATTAACCCCACATATCTTAACCCACTGCTCTTCTCGGGAAGCCCAGGAGCCATTCCAAACCCCGTGGGTGCACCCCATGGTAAACAGCGTGAAAGGATGGAGACAAGACAAAAGTTACAAAGGCTACATTCTACACTGTGACAGGACACCGAGACACACACAGTGCCAGCTCCTACCTGGAACATGGAAATGTTTAGGGGCCTGAGCGTAAGTTGGAGTGAGAGGGCGGCTGTCGGGCCGATAGGGGACAGGGGAGTTCCGACCGCTGGACGGCTCATTGCCTCCAATGAAAGAATGGAGAAAACAAAATGAGAAGAGGGAGAGCAATAAAAAAAACGCAAGCCCAATCAAACCCAAACAAAATTGATGGAATCAAAACCTCCAGGGAGAAAAGAAGTTGAACCAAAAAATATAAATACAAACAATAACAAGAACTGGTCGCCCTGATATATATATTTTTTTTTCCTGATATTCCTGCAGAGACAAAAATTCATGTTCAGGCTGGAGTTGACGTTTGAGCAGCTCAGACTCATTCTGCTGGCATGCAGGCAGGAGCCGTGTGCTCACAGCTGGTGATTAGCTGGGCAGCGTGGAAAAGAAGAATGGAAGGTTACTCGGCAATGATTTAGTACGGAGATTGATATTTGGAGTTAAAAGTCACAGGCACAGAGCACAGCAGTCGATATGCAAACCCCAAACGAAACCAACTCTCAAGCAGATAGAAGCAGATGCAGTTCTACAGTTCCCTAAACCACAAGCATATAGAAGCTAGAGATGGAAAATAGCTGTTAGGTCACTTGGCCCGTAGCAAAAGCCATAGCTGTTCTATGCACACTCTTTCACTGGTTTAGCTCTCTGGTAGGAAATTTTTGATCTAGCAAAGTAATTCATAAAGCAATGCAGCCCATCTGGTGGCTGCGCCCATATCATTGGTTCCACCCCAAATCTTTGTCAATGACAAATTTGACTCTGGTGACAATAAAACACAACAAAAAAGAAACTGCAAACTGCAGGACTTTTTTCAGCTCCAGGTTTCCTATGTCCCATTAGAGGACCCAAAACCTTGGAATTCAGCACATTTCTTATTTATATACTGGGGGGGGGGGGGGGGAAAAAGGAAGTTTTCTTTTTTCTTTACACTTTTCAAAAAAATTCCTCTTTTACTTGAATGGTCATCTGCCAATCTAAAAGGCACCAGTAGGGAGAAAAAAAAAATATTCTCTTTACAAACCTCACTGAGAGAGATGTGTCAGAGAGGCCTCTGCCAGTGTAGAAGCTAATACATCTGCACATACATGTTTTAAAAATTACATGCACAGTTCAGAGGACTGTACAAAATTTGTCCAGAAGAATGCATGTGCAAAATTCTATATTTACCACTTGACTTAATGTACATGATATCCCCTAAATATGACTTTCTTTGAACCACATGTCACAACAGAGGAGTCACAAGTACATTTCACCCGTTGGGAATTGGTAGTCAAAATGTGGACATGTTCAATTTACAAAGCCTCTATCACTAGCACTACAAATACAGGGAAAGAACTCTTCTTCTACTCACCTCTTTATCTCAACTAGACACAACTAAGTATCATGAACGTATGCTGGCTAATCTTGTATCTGGTGCACAGCTAATTTGTTTATAGAGAGCTGGTGATGTTGTATAATGGATACAGTACAAGGCAGACAATTAGCATGGTATCATCCCGCACGTGTTGCTTTACAGATGCCTCTGTTGGCTTGTATTTCCTGGGGTTCCTGTGCAGTCTCTCTCTTCCTAATGACTGCTACTAGTACTGACAAATGACTCTCCTTTATGCTTTCGAGGATGGCAGTCTCATTACTTCCAACCACGGCAGGAGGGAATGGTACATCTACTTAGATTCTCATTAGCTCATCCCTGAGGACCCCACTCTAATAACGAGGCTTAAGTGCTTCAGATGCTGCTGTAAAATCACCCACAATTTATGAGAGCAGTGCCAGCATCCATGGAATGTTCACATGCAGACAGAGCTGCCAGCCTGCCTGTACCTGCCTCCCAGGGCCTCATGGCCAGCAGCCTGCAGCTTCACATAAAAGCAGGGGCTCTGCATCCTCTGCATTTGGGTTCCTTGCTGTGCCTGCACAGGAAAGTCTCTCTTACTATCTCAGATATGCCATAACTAGTGTTAACTCCATACAACAAGAGTGCTCCACCAACGCTGTAGGAAAAACTAGTTCCCACACCCCTGGCAGGAAGCTGAACACGCGTGTGTGTAGGTGGGGGGGGATGTTAGGGGATAATAGAGTAGATTTTATATAAAAATCAATCACTTGAGCACAGCAGCCTCAGAAGTGAAACTCAGAGGCTTTTTTTTTTTTTTTCTTTCATTCTGTTTGCTCCACCAGGTAGTTCCCATTTTCTACAGCTGTGTTTCTAAGCAGGTTGCCCTGGCAGTCAGGGGTACAGCTGTCTGTCTGTCTGTACCCAGCGCTGTGTAACGCAGGTCCCTGCTGCCTCCTGAATCACAGAATCACAGAATCTTCTAGGTTGGAAGGGACCTTAAAGATCATCTCGTCCAACCGTCAACCTAACTGACAAAAATAGACACCCACACAACAAACAAGGAGCATCATCACTAAACCATACCTCCCAGCACTACATCAACCCGTCTTTTGAACCCCTCCAGGGATGGTGCCTCAACCACCTCCCTGGGCAGCCCATTCCAATGGCTGAGAACCCTTTCAGTGAAAAAATTTTTCCTAATATCCAGCCTGAACCTCCCCTGAAGGGCTCCCCACGGGGCTCACTGAGGATTCACGAGCTCAGTTCACAGAATCAGGCCAAAACATCCCATATGCGACCAACACTGAGCCTTCTGTCAACTTATAATGTCATTGCTCTACTTCTGAACAGACACAGGAAAAAGAGCCCAACAGCACCTGAAACCTCAAGACCTGTTCAGGTTTTGTCAAACTATCATCCAGCATCTTGTCCAGTTGTGTGGCTCTTCCTTCCCTCACAAAACTGATAGTCCTGAAATAGCCAAAGCGTGTCTGTTTTCCAGAGCAGAGCTTTCAGCTGCACCCACAAAACTCTGGAAATAGTTATCACACGCAGAGAGCATTTGATTTCAGAGACCTGCCCCAGGGAAAGACAGCAGGAACCTGTGAAAGCCAAGGCCCAGATTCACTATGGAGGTGGGTAGATTCCCTTCGGGAAGGGCTGTGAGCAGGGAAATACACATCGCTCTGGAGCTCTTTTTATGCTGAAATCTTACGGGGGCTTTGCAATATTCTTGAATGCCTCTGAAAAATTCTAGGCATGCGAGATGAAATCCTGGCTCTCAATGAGAGTTTTGTCTCTGATTTCAGTAGGGTGAGGGTTTCTTTCATTCATGGACTTGTTTTGATTCTTTCATAGCAAAGACAGTACTTTATTGAGACAAGAACAAATTCAATGGAGAGTCCAAATGAGATTAAATGAAGTCTAAGCTGATGCCTATTCCACCCTCTTCCAGCTCATTAAACATATATGTTACATCAACGAACTCTCAATAAGATTTTCTGGGGTGTATTTAGCTACTTCACTCCTCAAAGTTCTTTATATTTGGACTTGTCTACAAGGCTTGAGCACTATTATTGTTTATCATTACCTTGTATGAAAACACACTGAAACTGGTCTAAATGTCCTTTTCTGGCTTGACAATACAAAATAACACGGGTGGAATGTGCATTATGCCAGTTTCTTTATCATTATGCTGTTTGGAAATTATGCCCCTTTCCCAAACCAGTTTTGGCATGATCCATGTTCTCTGATTCCTAACAGAAAAAAATCCCCAAACTAGAGCTTTATGAAATCTTTCTTGTAAACTTACACCAAGTTCACCTTCCTGCTAAAAGCACTTGTGGCTTTGAGAAAGGCTGACCAAGTACGAATGAGGCCACAAGATACATTTGCAGTGATTTGAAGAACAAGTATCTACCACACCTAATTAACCCCACAGTGCTATAGTTCTCATTTCAGATATATTCACAAGGGTCTTATTCCCTACTCAATATAAAACTGCTACTCTCAAGGGTAAAATAATGCAGTTCTTTAAACCTTGAAAGCAGACACCTACAATACCCAAGACAAACCCCTACAGGTAAGAGCATCAGGGAGTTGCATTAGGTGCTGCCAATGCCAGACTAATCTCTCTTCTCTGCCACACAGATGTAAAAAGGGGACACTTGGACACACGTGGTGTGCAAGGAGGGCAAATGAAGAATCATGTGGGAAACCCAGATTGACCTCATCAGTTGATAACAAAATACCTGTTTATGAGCACCAAGCAGCAAAGAGGACATACAATGTAGTGCAACTGGATTTCATTCAACACTACCCACATTTTTCAAAAAACCCTACAGAACCCCCCTGAACTAAACCCTGGGCAAGCTATATTATCTCTTCCTATGAAAACACACCTACATGTTGTAATAATAGAGATGTTTATTTAACAAAAATATTACCCTTTGCTTTGCTGAGTTACAACACATAAATGTTGTCCAGGCCTAAGACCTTAATGTAAAATTTTTAGAAAATCATGGATTCTTACAATGTCCTATGTGACATATCTGATAAGCACCATACCTACCCCTTCATCTCCAGTGCTTGTAATCCCACCTGGCCTTTTGTACCAATAACTGAGACACAGACCTAATCTACATGTCAGGTAATTCTCTGAAATCTGAAAACAATAGCCATGGATTTCCAAGAGTTCTTTTGATTTATCCGTTGAAGAAGCTATTTTCTCAACAGAAAAAGAATGGAAATGCCACTTGAAAGAGTGTGAGCATTAATTTGGGTATACAGCAAAGAAATGTTGAAATTGCAAGGATCATGAATTAACTGCATGCTGAAATGAGCAGTGTATCTATTTTTAAGGGTCCCAATCTTTTAAATGAGATTTTTTTTTTATAGTGACATAATAGGAAAGTTGAAAGTGCATATTAATAAAAATTATCTAAGAAAAGGCAAGAGTAAAATTAGTAATGGGGATCTGAGTGCTTGAAGAGCTATAATATTGAGATCTATTAGCATTTCCTGAAAGATCATGGCAACAACTTCCTTGGAACTGTTTTTGATTATCTCCAGTTCACGATTATCTACGTTAATCAGTGGTGCCAGAACAGAATCTACGTTCAACTTGCTCAGCTGCCTCTTGTTGAGCTTTTGTAGGTTACAGAAGCTATGACCTTCTCCCCCAACAGAAGAGATGGCACAGCCAGAGTGCTCCAATAGAAATAAAAGTAAAACCACATTCACAGAAAGCAAGAAACAAAACTAAAAGGTTATTGAGCTGAATTAGCTCCTCGAAGGGACACAATGAAAGAACAATCCTCCCCCCAAATCAAACCATGCTTGAAAAAAAGAGAAATGACCAGATCCTCAGGTAGTGTAAATCCCTGCAACTCTACTGCCTTCAGCAGAGTCTGCTGATTCTCACTAGTTGAGGAGAGGCCTAGAGATTTTAGTTTTACTTCTTGGGCACTAATTATTAACTACCTCGTTGCCACTGATCTTTATATAATTTTTTTCTTTTCTTCTCTGTATTTTCAATCAACTTGCTCTATATGTAGATGTAGATATATAGGCAATATTTGTAGTCAATTTTTGAAATGCATGTTTTAAGAATGTGGAAATTATAATTTAATTTGATATGCTAACTTCTTCAGTGATTGTTATGCACTGCTTTGGAAAGAAGATAAATTAGGCGCATATAGGTTCTAAATAGTAAATGATGTTTTTCTGTATATTTCTAATAGGTAGTTGCTTGATGACTCTTCAACTAGGGCCCTTAGAAATGACATATTTTCTCCAAAAAAAAAAAAAAGGAGATTATGTCTATTCTAATGCCTTTTTTAAGTGTAACGGCACATTTCGAGGCATGCTCAGCTGTACAGCCAACGACAACCTCAGGGAGATCCGCCTTATTAGCTCTGAGAGAAGGCTAATAAATCTCCAGGCTGGAGGGTGCTCCCTGGGGAGGCGCCTGGCTCCTTACCTTTGACATGGGGGATGAAGTGGTGTCGGAAGGGGGAGTTGGGGCGGGAGTCATGGTGAGAGGAGCTGAGGCTGCTCGTGCGCAGGTAGGACACCCGCTGCACACCAGTAGGGAGCAGCTCTGCGGCAGCAGGGAATCGGGGGGCAGAACAAAATGAAAACAAAGAAAAACAATAAGAGAAAGGCAGGGGAAGGAGGCTTCAGAAGGAAGGAAAAAAAAAAAATAGGCATTCAACAATTAGGATTCTGAAAAGAAGGAAGGAGAAAAAAAAAAAAAGGTTAAAGACGTACCGAAGGGTTCGTAAGTGTTAGACAAAATTACAGGAAGTATTAGAAGAGAGGCTGAGACTGATTGCTAATTCGGCATAACATTTATTGGCTTAATGAGCTTCTGATCTATGCCTTGTTACCAAAAAGTAGCCTGCTACCAGCATGCAAACATCACAAACGTTGACGCTCAATTAGTTAAGAAAGCAGCTGCTTTGAGAAGTGCCTGACCAAAAAATGCCAGGCAGTGGGCATGCAAGCCGTTCTCGATTGTTTTAAGACATTCCAAAAATGCTGCCAACATCAGCTGGGGCTCTGCAGGAGGAAAAGGCTGCAAACTTTTTGAAAACTTGTAGCACTCAAATTTTTGAAGAACCTTATGCTGACAACGTCAACGCAATGGTTCACTTCTCTCTCAAGGGCTCGCTGGAAGTCAAAGACAAGTTATCTGGGGCCACTGGGTTTATTCACAGAGAAATTATTCTTGCAAATAACATGATGATTAGAAGTGCCATTAAGAGAAAAATAGTAAATATACATGTGCTACTATTCAACATGAATAATTACTGTAGGAAAATGGTAAAGCAGCATTAACAATTACCCCAAAGCAGGGCAGCAAAGATCAAAATGATAAATTCTACAGAATTACATCTGTGTCATATGCGAAACAAACAGGTGAGCCAAAGATGAGATCATCCGAACAGAGATATGTTTGAACAAACATCTTCTCAGAAAATCCCCCAGGCTGCAAACTCTTGAAGATTTTACATCTGGATCCAAACTCTGGCTTGAGCTCATCCGCCCATCACAAGAGTTACATAAACAGAGACTGCTTCTGGGGAAGGCCCTCGACTGAACACAGACAATAAAGTATCACAGTAAAGTCTGGAACAGGGCCTGGATTTGTTCATATCCCTGATACAACTGATACAAATGGAAAAATCGCCTCAGAATTGCCAGAATCAAGAGACAGAAGTTTGCAGCTTTTTCACGCTTTTAAGTCTCTTTCGGTTTCAGTTGTAACATCATCTTAGAACACAGCCATGTTGTCAGCACCAAGCATCAGACACAATTTGCTTCTGTCCCACCTCCCTTGGGTCCTTTAAATAAGGCATTCACTGACAGACACAATTAGCTGCTTTCAGCCCACCCCCAGTAGGAAATGGCTACAGCATTCAACTTCCACAGTGGTGGCTCTATTATAAATCTTTAATTTTAAAAAATGCAGCTCCTATTGTAGATGGGCTTTTGGCATCCCAACCGCTCAGCTGTAATCACCAAGGAAGATGGAACTGCACGACTGTATCACTTAATGTAAGAACAGATTACAAAGACTTAATTCATTACCACAAACAATAAAATCACTCTTGAAAAGTATTCAATGAATGGCATTTAGAGATAATTTTTTACGCAATTTGGGTGTGGATGAGCAGTTCATTTTCATATCTTGTTTTTATATACATAACCAGTAATTTTGAATGCACTGGGAACCAGAATGACCTGTACATTTTCTATATTGTGCATAGAACTTGTACAACACTGCCAAACTAGCAAGTGAAGTTTCTGTTTTTTAAATGTTCCCAGGCAAATGTCTATGGCTTTAATTAAGAAATCTACTTTGTGAACCATGAGTCTGTTTTTAAAAATGACTAGCAATTTGGAATATCTGGGGGTTTTGCTACTGTGTGTGAGATTCCATGGCTGCACCGAGCTTTAAATGAATTGCTTTCTAGAAGGGAGGAATCCTACATTACTGACTTCTCTACAGTCAAGCCACAACTTCTGTTTCCAACACATAATATTTTTCCCAAATTCCAGAATGACATTTGTGATTCACTGCTGCAAATTTTTGCTCACTTTCAGAAACATATAAAGCTTTAAATCAGAAAAAAACCAAGAAGATCCATATTTATGATTTAAGAAACACTCATCAGCCTCGTGAAAAAGAATGCATCAATCAAGAACAAAAAAACAGGTACCGAAGGAGATACTAAAATATGCCACAACTTTTCAATCCTAAATTCTCACTGCTGAGAGAAACAAGTGCTTCGCTGCACCACTATGTGACACAATAAAGTAACAATAGTTTTACATATACTTCTAAGGCAGTTGCCCTTACCAGGTCTGTGGAAATGCTGAGGGGAACGTGACATGGTGGGTGTGTAGCTGTGACGACTGTACACTGGAGAATTAATGGAGCCCTGACTGGTAGACCTGTGAATCATGCGATCCCGAACATCTTGATAACCCTGCAAAATAGAAACATTCACTAATAAATGTAAATGCACATCACACATTTTTAGCAGCACTTAACTTTCATGGATGTGAAGACATCAGCAGAAGCTACTAAACCAACAATATCCCATAAGCTTTCAAGCTACTTCCTTATTACCGCTCTCTAATGATCTGTTCCAAAGACTCCGATCTATTTTTATAGTCTGGGTCAGAGTTCAGTCTTGGAAAGTTCCAACTCCACCTGCAATTTCTATTAAATTCTATATAATCCTAGATTTGCCCACATTCCTATGACTCCATAAGGGAAGGTGTCTGTACAGGCAGAGCATGCAGTGCCCTGCACAGGACACATGAGCAGCCTCCAGCGAGCTGACCTGGGGACCAGCAACAGCTACAGCACAGAGCTCTCTGGCTTTGTGTACCATGTGTCTTGACTGGCTGCATCAAAAGGTATTTATTATCTCTTTGTATCTGAAAACACAACACTTTCTTGTATACAATTCAATTTACCTAGTTTCCCAGGAAAAAAAAAAAGCCAATCAAAAAAAAAAAAAAAAAAAAAAACTGCCAAATTACCAGAGTATTAAAAATGCCAGTGGTGAGGATGAATCAGCAACCACAGAGGAAATATTTGATTTAAACCTGAGATGAGAGTTCTCAAAAAATGGTCTTACATTAGGATGAAAAATAAAAAGTTCTGTATGTGTAATACTTCTGCTACATGTAACTAAAACCTTTATAAATCCAGCTATGTAGAAGGACAGTGCTACATCAATGAGAGTCAGGTTGACGCTGGCACTTGATACAGCATGGAATAGCACCAGCAGTTGCATTGACATCCGAGAACTTCTTCCCACAAAACCAAACCAAACAGGAAAATATCCTGAAGTGATTGTGGCGCATGTTTGTTTTAAGACCTCATTATCAATAAAAGGCACCAAAATGTTGCTCTGTAAATTAACAAGCAAGTTCCTGGTAATTGTTTGT